ACTCAAGGAAACACTATGTTCAACAATCATATATAATAAAGAAGTAATATGCAAATTAGCTCTCACACCCTCACAAGATGGCTGCCTACAACCAGGCCGGCAGGGGCGTTAGTGAGGGACGACCAAATAACTGAACAGCAGGCTGCATGGGGCAACCAGGTCAGTGTGTGTGTGGGGGGGGGGGGGGGGGGCCGTGAGGAGCAACCAGGCCAGTGGGGGGGGGGCAGTTGGGAGCGATTAGGCTGGCAGGGGGGCAGTGAGGGGCAACTAGGCTGGCAAAGGGGAGCAGTTGGGAGCAACCAGGCTGGCAGTGAGAACAGTTAGGGGTGATCAGGCCAGCGGGGGAGTGCAGTTAGGGGTGACCAGGCAGGCAGGTGAGCGATTAACAGCCAGCAGTCCAGGATTGTGAGAGGGATATCGGGCCTAAACCAGCAGTTGGACATCCCCAAGGGGTCCCGGATTGGAGAGGGTACAGGCTGGGCTGAGGGGACCTTCCCCCCCCCCCCCCGCCCCCGACCCATGCGTGAATTTTGTGCACCGGGCCTCTAGTTTATCATATAACAAAGAATGTCATAAAGGATACAGAAGAACAGCCATAAAGAGGTATTCAGTGTGAGGACTGAATGGGTCCCTGCACAGGACCTTCTGTCCCCGTGGAGTTGCGTTGCACCACTCTCTCAGTGCGTGGATGTGTTCACCAGTCTGGAACCTCCCTGAACCCAATATCATCGGCATTTTTATAGAGGCTTCATCATGGTAGGCATGACCAACTATTAACTCTATTCCCAGTCCTTCCCACTTCTCTGTGAATAGGAGTTGGGCTGAAAATTCCAAGCTTCTAACCATGTTTTGGTCTTTCAGGTGACCAGTCTCCAACCAGGTGACAAAGAGTTACCTCCTAAGAACAAAAGACACTTCTATCACCTAGAAAATGCAAAAGGATTTAGAACTCCACATCAGCAACTGGGGTCAAAAATGTTAGAACAAAAGATTCTCCTAACCCCTGTACATGCAAGTGTTTTAGGAGTTCTGTGTCAGAAATTTGGAGCAGATATATATCTATATCTCTTATCATTTCACATATGTCCAATTATAAACAATTATTTGTGCTATTTGGTTTTTTTCCCTGTTTCTTGCCCCTCAAAAGAAGGGGCTGTGCCCTAACCGGTTTGGCTCAGTGGATAGAGTGTCGGTCTTCAGACTGAAGGGTCCCAGGTTCGATTCCGGTCAAGGGCATGTACCTTGGTTGTGGGCACATCCCCAGTGGGGGTGTGCAGGAGGCAGCTGATCGATGTTTCTCATCGATGTTTCTAACTCTTTCTCTCCCTTCCTCTCTGTAAAAAAAAAAATAAATAAAATATATTTTTTTTTTTAAAAAAAGAAGGGGCTGTGATCTTTTAAAACAAGCGGTTTCCACAGAGAGAATACTCACTTTTTCTACGTGTAGCCCTGAAGAAGGAGAGAGCTGCTGTCTGCAAATCCACTCACCACTATTAACTCAAATGTTAGGAGAGGATAAAGAAAATACAAAATAGAAATAAACTCTACCCACCCCCAAACATCACTGATAAAGCCTCAGGCACTCGTGAATCTATTGAGTAGTATCTGATGACAAGACTTGTAGGAGGCATTCACCTTTGAAATAGAGTTGAAGAGAACTGTTTTTTAATCTACTTTAAAATTTGTACTGAGTCAATCTTAAATAGCAAAATCTCAGAGTAATTAGATAAGTCATTTACATTCAAGGAGATAGAATTGGCTAATTAGAACTGAAAAATTACAGCTCTGCTGGGTATGCATTTTAATTTGATCTGCTGTCTAGGGCATTGTTATGCTGAACAATTATGGAATAGACCCATATACAGGAAGTGATCATCTACGGAGGGTTTCCTGTAGATTGAGTACCATTAATAATAATTTTCCTCTTCATCCTTGGGCTATCCTAACAGCATAAAAAATTGAAGACAAAGGTTTTTTGGTACTTAGCAAATATCATGTGACTTTGGCAATGGTGAAATGCACAATAATTATGGTTAATAGCTGGATCCACCAATAGGGGAAGTGCAAGACAAATTAGCAATGAAGAGCTTCAGAAATGGGAATTTATGGAAGGATTCTAAAAGGAATGGGTTCACTAATTAGGGTCTCTAACAAAATGCACCGTAAAGTCAAATTATTCACGGTAGGGCTTATGTTACTGCACTTTCATGGGGAAGTGGCCGGTGGTTGTGGAGTGCAACAAATCCATTTAATGTGTATATCATAATTTATTTAACCCTTATTTATACACACTCCCCATTTTTAGGGGGGTTTTTGGTTGGTTGGTTTGTTTGTTTTGCTGGTAAAATAGTGCTTGGATGTTTGTCCAAAATAAGAATTTCAATGGACAAGTAGGTTTTTTATTTCTCCAATAATCCTAGAGCTCCTTGGTCTATAACTCCCACACATTACAATATCTGATTAACCTTGTGGCACTTCAAATAATACTCACACAGTAATTTATTCTAATATATCAAGTATAAGTCCCTTTTCCTGCAGATACACTCAGATGCCAGTCTCACTCCCCATCCGCCCCACAAAAAAAACCTTCTCCCTCTTCCTCTACAAGATTATATATAGATCCATCCATTTGCAAGAAAGTATTTCCAAATTCTCTACTAGCTGTCTTCCAATAAATAATAGAACTTGATCTCTTTTAAAAATAATTTTTTAGTTTTTCAATTACAGCTGACATACAATATTTTATTAGTTTCAGGGTACAAAATAGTGATTAGACATTTATATAACTTACAAAGTGATCACCCCAATAAATCTAGTACCCATCTGTCACTGTAAATATTACTGACTATATTATATTTCCTATGCTATACATCCCCATGATTATCTTGTAACTACCAATTTGTAATTCTTAATCCCTCTTCTTTTTCACCCACCCACCCCCATCTCCCTCCTATCTGGCAATTATCAAAATATCCTCTGTATCTATTTGTTTCTGTTTTGTTTACTTATTTTGTTTTTTAGCTTTCACACATACGTGAAATTATATGGCATTTCTTTCTCCATCTGACTTATTTCACGCAGCATAGTACCCTCTAGATCCATTCATAATGTTTCAGATAGCAAGATTTTTTTATGGCTAATACTCCATTATTACTGGTGCACAAAATTTGTGCACCGGGGGGGGGGGGGGGGCGGGGGCGGGTTCCTCAGCCCGGCCTGCACCCTCTCTCAGTCTGGGAGCCCATAGGAGCGGGCCTAAGCCATCAGTCAGACAATCTTAGCACTGCTGCAGAGGCGAGAGAAGCTCCCTCCACCGCTGCTGCACTCACCAGCCATGAGCCTGGCTTCTGGCTGAGCGGCACTCCCCCTGTAGGAACTCACTGACCACTAGAGGGCAGCTCCTGTGTTGAGCGTCTGCCCCCTGGTGATCAGTACATGTCATAGTGACTGGTCAACTGGTTGACTGTCTGCCCCCTGCTGGCCAGTGCACGTCATAGCAAGCAGTTGAGCAGCCTTAGCATATCATTAGCATATTATGCTTTGATTGGTTGAACAGACAACCAGACACTTAGCATATTAGGCTTTTATTATGTAGGATATACACCACTTCTTATCCATTCGACTATTCATGGACACTTAGGTTGCTTCCATATCTTGGCTACTGTAAATAATGCTTCCATGAACATATGGATGTATATGCCTTTTGATTTAGTGTTTTGCATTTCTTTGGATAAATACCCAGGGGTGGAATTGCTAGGCCCTTTCTTCATCTCTTTTTGTTAAAGTTGATTTTGACTGGTGTAAGTATTGCTACCCCAGCTTTCTTTTTGTTTCCATTTTCATGAAATAAAAGTAAAATGCCTAGGAATAAACTTAACAAAACTTATGAAGGACCTATACTGGGTGGGTCAAACGTAAGTTCACAGTTGTTTGTATGAAAAATAAAACAATAATGAATAAATAATAATACAAGAATAAACTATGTTTTGCATACTCACAACTGTAAACCTATTTTTGACCTCACCCTGTACACTGAAAACTGAAAGACATTATTAAAAGAAATTAAAGAAGACAAAAACAAATAAAAAGATATTCCATCTTTATGGACTGGAAGAATCAACATTAGTTAAAATGCCCACATTACCCAAAGCAATACATAAACTTAATATAATCTCCATCAAAATCCCAATGGTATTTTTTAAAGAAATAAAAAAAATTATCTTATTTGTATGGAACTACAGGAAACCCCAAATAACAAAAGCAATTCTGAGGGGAAAAAAAAAAAAGCCAAAAGTATCACATCCCCTGACTTCATATTATACCACAAAGCAACAATAATCAAAACAGCATGGTATTGACAGAAAACCAGGCACACAAATCAAGGGAACACAACTGAGAACTCAGAAATAAACCCACATGTATAGAGGCAAATAATTTGTCACCAGCTAGCTAAAATACAATGGAGAAAAGAAAACCTCTTCCACAAAAGGTGCTGGGAAAATTGGAAAGCCACATGCAAAAGAATGAAACTAGACTGCTATTTGACACCATACCAAAAAAATTAACTTAAAATGGATCGAAGAACTAAACATAAGACCTGAAACAATAAAATACATAGAAGAAAACATATGGACCTTCCTCTTAGAAGGAATTTTATGAATTTGACCTTAAAAGCAAGGAAATTAAAAACAAAAATAAGTGGGATGGCCCTGGCTGGTGTTGCTCAGTGGCTAGAGCATCAGCCCATGCACTGCAGAGTCTCAGGTTCAATTCCAGTCAAGGGCACATACCAGGGTTGCAGGTTCAATCCCTGGCCTCAAATCATAGTGCATGTGGGAGGCAATCAATCGATGTGTCTCTCTCACATTGATGTTTCTCTCTCTCTCCTTTCCTTTCTCCCTCCCTTACACTTTCTCTAAAAAACAATGGAAAAAATATCCTCAGATAAGGATTAATAAAAATAAAATATTTTTTAAATGGGACTATATCAAACTAAAAAGCTTCACATCTAAAAAAAAATCAACATCCTCTGTGAGAAAGAAATTGTTACATGATTAAACACCTCTTTCTTAGCAAAACAGAAAGGGGGCATATGTGTGACAAACATGAGAAAAATACAAAATAAAAAAATTTAAAAATCAACAAAATAAAGAAGCAACCAACAAAACAGGGAAAGACATTTGCAAACAATACCTATAATAAGGGATAAATATCCAAACACATTTTTAAAAATCATACACTCAGCAACAACAAAAAATAGTGCAATCTAAAAATAGGCAGCCCAGTGTGGCTCAGTTGGTTGGTTGTTGTCCTGTGCACCAGAAGGTGGCAGTGGATTTGATTCTAGGTCAGGGCACATGCCTGGGTTTTGGGCTCAATCCCCAGTAGGGACATATAGGAGGCAGCCAATCAATGTGTTCGTTCTCTCTCTCTCTCTCTCTCTCTCTCTCTCTCTCTCTCTCTCTCTCTCTCCCTCTAAAATCAATAAAAACATACCTTCTAAAAAAAATAAAAATAAAAGGACAGAGGACCTGAACAGATACTTCTCCCTAAAAGATTTGCAAATGGTCAACAGGTAGTATATGAAAAGATGCTCAACTTCACTAGCTATTAGGCAAATGCAAATAAAAACTATGAGATACCACACTATACCTGTTAGAATGGCTATGACCAACAAGACAAGAAATAACAAGTGTTGGAGAGGATGTGGAGAAGAAAGAACCCTCACACACAGCTGGTGGGCGTGTGAATTGTTACAGCCACTATAGAAAACAGTATGGAGGTTCCGCAAAAAGAAAAGAGCTGCCATAGGACCCAGCAATCCCTCTTCTGAATATCTAGCTGAAATATCTGAAACCCTTTCATTCATAAAGATACAAGTGCCCCTATGTTTATTGAAGCATTCTTCACAGGAACCACAACATGGAAACAACCTATGTGTTATTTAATGAGTGAGGGGATAAAGAAGATTTGGTACATATATACAATGGAATACTATTTGACCATAAGAAAAGACAAAATATTGCCACTTGTGACAATACAGATGAGCCCTGAATTATGATGTTAAATGAAATATGTCAGATGAAAAAGAACAAAAATCATATGATTTCACTCCTAGGTGCCATATAAAACTAAAGCAACAAACAAAAAAGACTCATTGACACAGGTAACAGGGGTGGCTAGCAGAGGGTACGGGGGTTGAAGGGAGGTAAAGGGGGTCAGAAATATGGTGATGGAATGAGACCAGACTTTGGGCAGTGAGCACACAATGCAATATACAAATGATGTGTTCCAGAACTGTACACTTTAAACGTATATAATCATATTAACCAATGTCGCCAGAATACATAGAATTTTTTAAAAGCACACACACATAAAAATGGGAGGGGCCAGTCTGAACACAGCTCTGTGTCCTCAAAGTTGGGGCCCTGGTTGCACCCAGGAATCCTCAGGGATGTGGTGGGCTTTGTTGGTGTAACTGTGTATGGCTTGGTGGAGGCTGATTCGTCAGCATTCCAGAGGGGTCCCTAGAAGTTCTTTTCTGAGCAGTAACTCCAGTAGGGGACTCCTAGCAGGCACCTCACTTTCTGATGATAGAGCCCAATAGAACCTAGAACCCTGGTAACCAAGCAGCCACATTCTAGAGAAGGCCCTGCCCAGCTCACTTGGGTGGAGATGCTCGAGAGAGTAACATGTTCTGTGGCTGTGTCCCCAGGTCCCGAGGTTGTGGCCTTAGGTAAGCTGTTCCAATACTACAGATGTTGAGTAAGGTCTCACCCCAGACACCTCTGGCACTTTTCTTGCAGGGACCCAAAGATAATACAGGGAGGCCCAGGATAGTCCAGTTTAGGCCTGGCCACCACTCTGATCCACCTGAGCAGCCCTTTGTCCTGTGTGTGGTCGTCGTGTGTGTGTGCGTGTGTGTGTGTAAAGGGGGGTTCACATGGAAAGGTGAGGTGTTCATGTTCAGATCCCAAGTCAGGGCTGGCTGGGTGAACACTGAGTATGCAGCAGTGCCCTTCTGCCCAAGGATTATCCCAAGCCCTGGAGGTGAATCTTATTTCACCCAGGTGGAGGTCTGTGCCTGATATGGAAGCAGAAGGTCAAGTGGGCAGAAGTACCAGCAACTAGAGCCAGGCAGGGCTCTGATGCCACCAGACCAACTGCCAGTCATTGCCATTTCAGAGCTCCACCTAGGGGATAGCTGATGGGGACACCTACTCCATCTCCACGAGTGAGTGGCAGGTGCTCCACCACCAAGAGCCAGTATAGGCTTGAAATGAGTATGGGCACTGAGGAATCTCCAGAACCCAGGCCTAGGACTGGTGGGGAAAGCCCTCCTGCCCAGATCTCACCCAGGCTACTCCCCTGTAAAAGAAATTTTAGACAAAACAGGCAGGTTTAGGGAGTCTTAGAGATAAAGAGGGTCCAAGGGAGAGGAATGCATAGATAGAGGCTTGAATGCTTACCTTACTTGTACAGAGGAAAGAGAAATGCCATTGGGGGGGGGGGGGGGGCGGCGCGCGGGTGGTCCAGGCAGATAGAAACATTTCTGACCTGAGCAATTAAAACAGCCATAAAACAAGGACAGAGGTATCTCTGGCCTGAGCAGCTGGGAGATCAAAAGCAACTCCAACCAGCAAGATTAGGGGGCTTTGAGCTTTGAAACTAATACTATGTAGCAAAGTGACCAATGAGGAAGGCAAGGGGGTCCTAAATTTAGAAAGGATCTAATTAGAAAAGGTCACGTTCAGGAAAAGAGCTGCAGCAATCTTTATAAATTCAGAGACAAAGAGATTCAGCAGATTTCAGATTTTACAAATTTCGATTTTTGGACTTAGATTTTTCCCATTAGGGAGAGAGCAGGTTTTTCCCATTTGGGGAGCCCCTCCCCAAGGGATCCCCTTTGGGGATACCCCTGCCCAAATGAAGTTTGTATATGCTTCCAATAAACTTCCACATTTTTATTAAAGAAATCTGTTAGTCCGAGAGTTTATTCTTCAAACTTCATGAGGACAAGGCCCCACAAGAAGTTAAGTCTGCACCTCAAACCTATGTTTCACCTGGATTCTTCCAGGGTCTCCAGGTAGCTCAACATTTAAATTTTACTGCAGTGTTTTATATTTTTGTTGTACTAGGTGTGTATTTTACTTATATAATAAAATAGCTATTTAAAAGAAGGAAATAAAAGACTGTGTGGTTTCCATGCTCCAAGATGACCTCCAATGATCCCTATATCCCATATTCATACCCTTGTGTAGTCCTCCTCCCAGACTATACTAAGGCTGTCTATGTGATCAATAGGATATGGCAGAAGTTATAGTAAGTCGCTTTTAAGTTTCACAACAAAAAAACTATGGATTCTGGGTGGTCTTTCTGGCTTTTGGAGGCTCTGTCTTTCTCGGTAGGTCTGTCTCAGTCACTCACTCACTCTTTGGGAACCCAGGTTGTGAACAGCCCTATTGAGAGGCCCACATGGTGAGGAGCCAAAGCCTCCTTTGAACAGCAATGTAAGTGAGCTGGAAGCAGACCTCTCAACTGTTTATACACAGCAGCCTTGGCCAACAGCTTGACTGCAACCTCTTGAGCAACCTTGAGCTAGAAACACCCAGCTAAGCCATTTCCGAATTCCTGACCCTCAGAAACTGTGCAAGATCATAAATGTTTGTTGTTTTATGTTTCAAGTTTTAGGGATATGCAGCAATAGATAACTAATACAGACTGCTCCCCCTGGAGAAATAAAAACATCATTGCTAAAATAAGCTGCTAAGGAACCTGGTTTCTGATCTCAGGAGAGCTCTGGCTAGCAGTATCATTGCTATGCTAACAACTTTCTGTGACCAGACTCCCATCTGCTGCCTCAGACTCAGTATAACTCAAACTAAACTCATCAGCTTGCCGCTCACCTATGGTTTTCTTTTTTATTATTATTCAATTTATTGGGGTGACATTGGCTAATATTATCCAGGTTTTTTATTCCTCTTCATAAGTTCATCCTCCTCCCATGACCCCAAGCCTAACACGTCTTACCTGGGTTATCCCCAAAATAGAGCCAGAGACGATGGCTTCCATTTAAGTAGTTTGATAGTGAGGGACAGGAGAGTAAAACAGGAAAGGAATCCGACTACCTCAAGGATGTGTTATCAAGTTGGCCAACACAACAGGCTCCTGGGGTGTTTAAACACCTTATTTCCCGACTTCCCACCAGGAAAAGGGAAAAGAACCATGTGTTTAACTGCTCTCAGCTCTGTTGATTAAGGGTTGCCCCATGGGGTATTAATCCCCCAATATTCTTCTGTTACAACTGCTGAGTGTCAAGCAGGTTCTCAAAGGCACAGGAGCCCCAGGGCAGGAAGCAAGAAGCACACAGTTCGAGCCTGCAAGTATGGTCAGGTTGACACTGAGTGAAGCTGTTGAAAACCTAACAGGAGCTTGCTGCCAACACTCTGGTCAAAATAAGGATGGAGCAATAGGATTTAGAGCCCTGTTCCAGACGTGTTCCAATCCAACCCACCTCCAAGTAGTGCCAAAGCCTTTCTATTTTACAAACATATGTCATCGCCTCCATCGATCTCCCCTTTTCTCCATTTTCACAGCCACTGACTTAGTCCAGGTTTCCACTGCCTCTTGCACCAGCCACCAAACTAGAGTTTTCTAAGGACAGACACCCAGATGGAATAACTCCCAATGTTACTTCTCTTTCAACAAACAGTCCCAATCATGAGCCAGGCAGAACTCTGGGTCAGAAAGTAACCAATTCCCGTACCTCCCAGCTCACCTCTGTAAAACAACCCAGAGACAGACCGGGCTGGTGACCCAGAGGTTTTCAGCAAAGAGAATGATTCTCTGCTGGACCAGCCAGCCAGGCAACTGCACAGAATCCCAGCCTGGAACCAAGAAATGTTTTTTGCTGCCTCTGTGGCAACATAGATGAAGTTGTTATACGTCCGGAATCAGATAAATTCAGGTAAGTTAGAGAATATATCTCAGTTTTATTCACTATGCCTTTCAAAAGCATTCAAAACTTCGAAAAATAATCTATTCCATAACTTCACAGCTACTAGTAATTGGCTCCAAGGTATGTTTTACCTTGCCTGGGGACATTCACC